ATGCTCAAAAGATGGGTGGATATGAGGTACAGCCAGTGGCATGCAGCCTTCCTGTGGCACCCAAGCCCTCCAACCTGCAAGCAGGGAGCCTCTTCTCCATTACAAAGCTACCAAAGATGTTTTGGTTTCTTTGAGGAGATGAGTCGGGCCATATATCCTGAAAATTGGAGGCAAGTAAGAAAGGAAGATGGCAAAGTTTTGTCTTACATACTTAGTTGCTAGGAAGGGCTATTCCTTGGAAAGGGACCTCATGCTTAGAAAGGTGGCAGGAGGGTCAGTGAAAGAGAAGAAAATCATCAAAGATAGATTGACAGTCACTACTGCAGTGGCCTTAAGAATGTCAGAGATGATGAGGATGGCACAGGAAAGGACAGGACTCAGGTCTGTTGTTCACAGGGTAGTCGTGAATCATACTTAACTGAACCTAACAAGAAGATGGAGAGAAAGAGGGATGAAGGGATAGGGCAGTGCTTGGGCCACCATGACTGGAAGATGGGGCAGCCCTCCTCTACAGGCAGCAATGGGGCCAAGATCTCATGAGGAGATACAGGGGTGGGGAAGGCAGGGGTGACATGTGAGCTCAGCAGAACCTGTGCACCAGTGGTGAGGGGATGAGGTGATAGTTCATCCTCTGGTTTCAAATAATGCTGGGTTTTGGAATCAATTTGCCAGTAATGATTGGGATAGTAAAACAAACCAAAACCACAATGTAACAAAACCCCCTGATCTTTGGGGCTTAACCTTGTCAACAGATGAGGAGAATCAATTGTATGGTAAAAGTATAAGTTGGTTTTAACATTTCAATGACTTTTACCCTGTTTTATGACAGGTTACATACCAAGGGGAAAAACTCATTTGGGGAGTCAGTCAGATGAACATATCTAAGTAACCTCAGATTTATGTAACTCCTGGCATACACTTCTGTGTTGCCTATGTAAAAGATAACGATAATACATACTGTGTAAGTTCAGGTTCTCCAAGAAGCAGTTGTCATGACAGTATTTAGCAGTTCTGACAGACAAAAGCCATCCATGTTACCGTTGTCGGGCATACAACCCTAGATGGTAAGTTAGGGTCGTTCTTCTTCCATCTCCACCAAACCTGAAGGTTCCATTTCAGTATCTGTATCTTTGCCCTTCCCCTCCCTATTATCCCCTACTCTCACTCAATTCTTTTATCTGGAAGGTGTAAGTGTGAGACAAAGGCAGTTTTGGATGGGCAATCTCTTCCAGTGCGATTAACTGCCTCTGAAAACCTGCTGGACTCCACAGTACACAACATCATCATCCAGAAATGAGCATTTCTTTCCCTAAAACATGGTGGCTTGTGTTTTAAGGGTAAGAATCTGCCAGCATCTTGATCTTCCAACATTCCAAAGAGAGAGGCTGAACTTTGAGGCATCAATATCCACACAGGGGTCCCCAGCTTTTGCCTATTATTTTCATGGTTTCGGGGGAAAAGACTGCTATCTAGGGATCTTGTTTTATCTGCTTGCTCTGCTTTCCAGAATGAGGCTTGGGGAGAATAGTACATATTGACTTTTGCCACTTTTACAAACCTTCAACTCCCCGCATATCCCCTGCTTCTGATTTCCATTTCAATTGTCACTTCTGACATCTCATTTCTCAGTTTAAATCTCAGACAGCACTCTACCCAAATGTCTTCATTGTACTGAGAGTTTATTTCTCTCCCTTCTTTTAATTCATTTGTGTCTGAGCAGGACACGATACAAACACACAAGGCTTTCCTGCCAAGCTGAACTAATTAATTTTGAATTATGTTGCTGTCAATTCGATCCAGAATATAGGACTATTCATTTATTAGCTTAATATCTGATATAAGTGGTTGTAACTGGTTTTGCCCTCTACTTTCTTAGGAGTGACTATGCTGTTGGTGCCAGGTTTGTACTGGAGAGGGTAAAACCAAGGTGGTCCTTGGAGGCAAGGCTTCTGAAGCTTCATCTGACATACTCTGGGCATGTTGCAAGTAGGGATCAATCCTTGGAGAGGGACATCATGCTTGGGAGCGTGGATGGACAGCACAAGAGAGGAAGACCCTGGGTGAGATGGATTGACTCAGTGACTGGGGGTGGGTGTGTCGGAGACAATAATGTTGACTCAGGGTAGAGCAGGGCTCAGAACTATAGTACATAGGGTCGTGCTGTGAATTGCAGGTGACTTGATGGCACATGGCACATAACAACAACAAATATGGTCTGGGTAATCTGCAAAGAGTTTCTACTTAAAACAAAACCAAAAGAAGATGGAAATTGTGCCTATAGAAAAAAAAAATTGCCCAAAGCCCAAAGTCATGAAATTTCTAAGTGTTAGAGCTGCATTGTCATCATGTCTATGAGGTATTTGTTTTCTGTTTTATCACTCTCCCCCCTTCTTGATGTGTTTAGAAAGTCACTAAGCCATAAAAATTCCTGGAGGTCATGTGTTTTAAAGCCCAAACCTTGATGAGTTCAGAATACCTCTCCAAAAATGCTCATCTAGATTTGATTGTAAACCTAAGGCCATGTCAGATGGTTTCAGCCTTTTATAAATAATCTACTTAAGGGTCTTTTACCAAATAACCTCTGAATTTTTTTTTTTAAGAGCAAAATGTAAATCTCCCTGACTTAGTATCTTCTCACACACCACAGCTAGGGGATTGAGCATTTTGGTCAATTTTCACTCAGTGTGCAGACAGGAAGGATTGCTCTGCTGTGTTCTGTTGTCCTTTTAAATGTTCCCTTAATAGTAGGTTATGCCATCTGATGGGCAATTTGCCTTTGCACCATTTTGCTTGTCACGATGCTTCCTCTAACATTAAGTAGCTGAAACTAGAAAAGGGCTTCTAGAGGTTACACAGCTCAATAGAATGCCTGTCCTTTTTTTCTTTACTCCAAATTACACTTATGTCCTCCCTCATCTTTCCTTACAAGCTCACTAGGGTCAGTACAGCAACAAATGCAATTTTTTTTATCCCCCTTCCAACACTGTTCATTTTTTATGGCAGATTAAAACTTAACTGGTTGAAAAGAAACAAAACAGCTTCTAAAAAAATTAATATTCTTCTCTTTCTAGTTGTAACTAACTGCTCTGCTATTTAGGAGTTATAAGGAGCTGGGACTATTTGCACTAAAATAAAAAGTTAAGGGTTTTTGGAAATGCCCCCATCCCAAAATGAAATCTTTGTGTGTTTAAATGTGTGTAAAATTGATAATCTTCCCCTATGAGAGTCTATCGAAAAGGAAAACATGAAACACTTTTCTAGCAAAGTACCCTTTTTGGGATGTACAATCATAACATGAATAATTCCAAAACAACATTTAATTTAGCCAGCATGGCTTGAGAGATGTGAATATGCAATTTCCTCCTCATAGCATGTTCTTGGCAATGTATGATTACATCTAATGAGGTCATGTCCATACTCTAGCAGACTATATATCTGATAAAATTACTGTTTGCTGTTTTAGGAGCATACTATCTTTGAAGCCCTTACACAGTAGTATTTTTTCCCCATAATATATGCTTCCTACTGGTAAAAGAGTAAATTTAATCTTAATATTTTTTTAAAAAATAATGGGCCCTATTTTAATTCCTGAATATTATCTAATTCAGCACAAGTATGACCAAAGGGTGCAAATCAAGTATGGTGCTATTTTAACCATACAATAAACATGTTTTATGGAAAAATATACTTCATATCTGAACAAACAGCCTTTTTATCCAGACATAGGCCAAAAAGAAAATTAAATACACAATCTTTAAAACAGAGGAAATAGCCTCTGTTACTTTATCCTAGGGGAAAAAATGAACCCAGTTAGTTTATTCCTTTAAAAACAGACCTCAAAATATCTCAGTCACAAAAGGACAAATACCGCATGGTGCCACTGTAGTAGAAAGTGACAGACATTAGGGTTGGGGTAAGACTGAGAAAAACTGGATAGCATACTATGATTATCACAGGAATCCAGAATTAAGGTTGCACAGTAGAGTGCATTTGGGGCGGGGAGGGGGCAGAGGCGGCGGGTGGGGGGGGGAAATTGTATACCAATGAAGAAGTTTATCTTTTGCTTTTCAAGGAGAGGAGCGAACTGGGGGAGGAGGGGTAAAGAAAAAAGTGCAACAATGAATGAATGAAAATCTAAAATCTCTGCAAATGTTCATTAAAATTAATAAAATAAAATTTAAAAAATAAATAAACCCCCTCCAAAAAACAAAACAGACCTCAACTCTTTCCTAATTTATTTTTAGAAGTTCATCTATATTACTCTTTAATAAAATGACTCATATTACAGCTCAATTTATACAAAAGCTTTATGCTGACTTTGAAACTTAGTGTTTTTATTTCATAGTTTCTAGATAAAAAAATGCTACCTTATTCAGCACTACTGTTTGTATGTTAGTCTTTATCAATAACACTTTAAAACTTAATCTGCTCTCAGAAGAGACAACTTTATTAATGAGGCAGAAAATAACTCAAAAGTATATTCACAATCTAGCTAGTGGAAAGTATTCTATTCTACCCACCTCTGAAGTCCTAGAGAAAACACTTTTCAAGTACTATGGGACTGATTCTTAGCTCTGCTTTTCTTAAAAAAACAAACAAACAAACAAAAACAAACCAACAAAAAACTCTCAAAGAACTGTCCATTTTTAATCCAGTTTGCTTTATTATTCATCAAAAAACAGTGAAAGTGAAACCATTCCCATTACTCAAAAGGCTGAATTTTTCAAGATACATTTGCAAAGAACTGTCTGAATAAGTTTACTTTTTATAATAGCTGATTCTATTTAACAGCATCAAATTTGTTTTAAAGCAGGCAATGAAGTAAAGAAAACTACATCCAGAACCATCAAGCAATTAATGTCATAAACTCTGCAATTAGACTGTTGTTTCTACTATGTAGCCCTGGGGGGGGGGCGCGGGAAATTACAGAGATAATTTCTTATCAACCTAGTTCATCCTCCAAATCATCTTCCAAACTAAAGCTTTTCTTGATAAGAAGCTCAGATTCTGGTTACAAATTTTTCTTCCACATTTTCAGGAAGGTATTCTTAAAAAAGAAATAGTAAAAAGTTGAACAAAACCCTCTAAGCATTTCACTGAGCATTTTAGTTACTATTTCATGTATACATACAAGTTAACATGAGATAGTGTTCTTATGTAGATATTTTAATTCACTAAAGAGAGAATGTTTTTGTAAGATCACATGTTGAAGGTGCTCCAGTCAAGATTTTATGAACTAAGATGAAGTTTCTTCCTGGGAGATGTTACATCTTCATTATCCTCCTCCTCTTCTTCTTCTATTTCTTCTTTTTCTATTTCTTCTTCTTCTTCTTCCTCTTCTTCTTTTTCAAGATAAATCACAGATTCAGTCATGTGTTCAACACTTGAACTACTTGCTTTATTAGCAACATCTTCAGAGATGGATGTATGAAATTCAAAGCTACCAGATGGTTTTCTCTGAAGTTCTGTGGGTTCTTCATTTACTTCTGTTGTTTCAATCTCTACTGTATTATCACAAACATGTGGAAATTGGCCTTCTACATCAAATGGATCCATTGATGCTTCATCATCATTCTCGGTATCTTGCAGAAAATATATTTCTTGTACCTCCCCAAAGATTTCGGAGTTCTTGGAAAGCATATTACTATACACTACAGAATTTAAGTTCTCATATATTTTACTCTGACTGTTTTTTTCTTCCTCATACTGAATCTTCAACCCTTTAAATGTCTGAACATAGTCAATAGTTTCAAGTGATTGGTGAAACCGTTCAATTATGTGAACAACAAAAGACTTAATATTTTCTACCCTGATGTACTCAAATAGCTCAACGATGGCAGAATTCAACATATTGTACCGAGTCCCATTACGGAGAAGGGCATTTATAACTGGCTCAAAAAGATTGCCTTCAATGATATAATAATTATAATCTTCACTGTGAAGGCCAATCATACTTCTCATAAAGCGTAGAGCATATAAAATCAGGAAAGTGTGCTTTGAATTCATCAAGATCAGTATTCTTCTTAGCAAGTCTCTGTTTAGAATAAAATTTTTTATAAAACGTGTGTGATGTTGTACACAAAATATGAGTAATTCCAAAATTAAGGCTAGCAATTGTGCTGTTCTATAGTCATTGGGACAATTTTTGTTCAACTCAACTGTATCACCCTTTTCACAATTCTTTCCTGAAGTTGTGGCCCAAAGTGGCTCTATCAAGATATGCATGCAATGTTGGTAGAAGAAATTTAGAAATTCACTTCTTTCACACTCAGTGGGTGTGGTCAGCATGTTTTCTGGATCAAGTAGGCAACGAATAAGTACCATTAAATTAGTAGCCCCACCTAGCTCAGGATCAGTGTCACAGATCACTTGTTTTATAATTACATTCATGAAAAGATTATCAACTTCAATGTGCTCAGCTTCTTCCATTATGAATCTTCGGATCATGGATGGGCTATACTCCACTACATAAGAAAATATATCTGTAGCAGTTGACCTTATAAGAACATCATCCATGCCCATCACCATTTTAAGGGCAGGAAGAAGACCCAAATGTGTCAACGTTTGGAATAATATCTCCTTGTTTTGAGGCTGCAATGTCTGAGAAAACACACAGAATTCCTTGAAAAAAGACATCAACTCAATGCATTTCTCCTTAGTTGTGGTCTTAGCTTTTAACTGTTCAAAAATTTCAAAGAAAAATTCCTCATCTTCCTGCAGCAAAGTCACAATCTCAACCTTGTTGAAGAAAATAAATGTGCTAAGAGTAGAAAGGCCATTATCACTAAATACAGATGGCACAGGTATTAAGATATCATAAATGTACTGGACTCTGTAGGTCTGATGTATTTTTTGTTTAAGTTCAGAGTCTCTTATTGGTATAACTTCTTTGAACTTTGCATTTTGTATCAAGAATTCCCTGTGTCTTTTAGGCTGAGCCAAAGTAGGGTCATATTCAAGGCATCCTACCACATCTAAGATACACTCATCAGAAAACATAATCTCAAAGAGAGTGGTCTTGTTAAGGAATAAAATTCCTCTAATAATTTCATACAAAAGATGCAAGCTTTTGGTGTTCCCTGTAAGCTCACAAGTATGGAATAAGCTTAATAGTTTTCTTATATAGTCCTCCTTTTCTAAAATAAAAACCAGTTTTTCCTTACGGACAGGCGAGGAATGAACTGAGTTAATTAAGTCTGCAATCTGTTCAAGTTTACTGAGTTCACAATTGGGTAGGTCAACCAGATTGCTAGTATCTGGAATGCCATTATATAGTTCTTCTGACTCGTTCAAAGGGTCTTGTGTAATGTCGATGGAAGGGTCTTTACCTTGAAGGCGGCAAATAATTTCCCAGACCGCTTGACAGCCTGATGAGTCGTGGAAACTAAGCGCCAAACCGGGGTTCTCGGTTTCTGACCAAACAATCAGGGATTCTGTTTTTTTCTGATAAACTGTGTGCGGATGAATGAGGGACTCCAAGATCAAGGAGCTATTGTACTCTGATCGAACCTGCAGTGAATATGCTTGGGTCTGCTCCACATAAACGGAAGAGACTAGCCCACTGCCGAGGATATCCCATTGCTGGTCATCATTCATGTAATAGACTTTAACGCGGCGTCGCCAAAGCGCCATACCGACTTCAACAGTCTGGCCTTCACTTCAGGGCCCGCTCTAACGTCTGCTACCTTGGCAACGGAAGTGGGGGGGGGTATGGTGGCCTACGAGGGCAGGAACGCAAGCAAAATGCAGTCCGAAGATGGCGGAAGAGTAAAGCACGTGCTGTTAGATGCGGAAGTCCCAGGTAGGTAATGGGGTTTGCTTCAGGTCTTCGCTAACTTCTCACGTTCACCACCTCTTGCACCTCAGCTTCCTCTCCTGCCATCGGTCAATCTCTTAAAGAGAGTTTTAAAAATGAGTCCTTCCATTTCCTACCTGGTCTATGAGAGCATACTCCTGGCTGAATTTGGCTTTTCCAGGATTCTCTCCAAAAAGGTATGCCCTTCTAGTACCTGCTTGAAGCTACAGGAACACCCTCTAGCTCAGGAATCAATTCCCATATTTGGTGCTGTGAATTGCTGGCCAAGCTTAGGTTTATAGCTCACAAGTTTTTAACAACAAAGAGCACTGTTTATTTCACAAAGCATTTCATCTCCTAGCAAGGGTCTCTTTTACTCACCATGGGGAGGAGGGTAGAGACTCAGTAGGACCTTGGTCAAAAGAAATCTTAATCACCTATGTTCAGACCAAACCCACAAATGACATTCGATGGCAAAGGCTAGTCTGCAAAGAAGTAGCAGAGAAAATACCATTAATAGCAACAGTCTTAATATCTAAACTTGGATCTTCTCCTTGAGGCTTGCTCGGCCTTTGTATCTTTTACTTAGCCATCTTGGGGGGTTATGATCTTATTACAAAAGTTAGTCAACTCCTTTGCTTTGTGATGTACAGTCTATAGCTCTACTCTTTAGCACAATGTGGACTAAAATGACCTTTAGTTTGCCTCATCCATAACTACATTACTCATTCTTAGGGAGGGTATGGACCCAACTGGAAACGAAAAGATTCTATCAGCTAAGACTGAATATTAGACCATCACAGTTCAATTGTTTACTTTTCTTAATAACATTAGTAACAGTAACAAATAACCAATGATATTTGAGTAGTTATTGTTATAATAAAGGTGTCCAATACATTACTATATTTAAGACACTCTAACAAGGATACACATTTTCTTCATTTTCATTATATGTTGGTTAAATGAATTGCCAACTGTAACAATGAGTAAGTGGAGGCTTATGGACTCTAATACAGGTCTTTTTTTATGTCAAAGTTAGCTCTTCCAGCCACTCAACTGTACTATCCTCCCTTTTTTACCCCCTTTTTAGTTTATGTCACATTCCTTCCATGTAGATAATTTGTAATCTAAACCAAATTATCAAGACAAGATGAAAGTCACACACTTCCTCTAGATCCACATCTGTATATAGCCAACCCCCCCCCCCAAAATAGAAGCTTAGATATGGCAATTCTGTTAAATATAATTTTAATAGTAACCAAGTTGGGTTTTGATGTGGCAGCAAAATTTGCAGTTTTTAAAAAAAATTTTGTTTTATAAAAATTAACCCTGTTATAGCAAGGGAAAAACTGTAAATTGGGCCACATCAAGCTCATTTGGTCTTAAAGAGGCCATTTGTAACAATGCCTTTGTTTTACACAGCATAGGAAATGTGTGACAATTCTCAAGTAGGACACTGTGAAATTTTCCCACATACCTCTCTTGAAATGTTGCCTCCGGGAAATTATATTACAGGAATATTACCTGGGACAGTACAGTCAGGGCACTGGGGAATTGAATGAAAATGACAATCATGTTCTAAGAAAAAAAAAATTAGATCAACTCCAGGATACTGTTGGTTTAGGAACATTTACAAATTATAAACAATATTTAAATCTAACAATTTATAAATGGAGAGTTCAATTAGTGATAAAAACTTGAATCCAAAAATTCCTATCTTACTTCAATGAGAGAAAATGTGCAAATATACATTAATTTTAATGACATGCTTGCTAATGATCCCGTTTTTCTTTGCTATGGTTATATTAAAGTTTCTATCAGAATCAATTATAACACTGTCAGTTCTCTGAATATGCCCTCAGGTCACGTTCACTGGAGGCATTCAGCACAAATTTAGGTGTTCTCACAATTTTATCACTGAAAGTTACCTTTAGGCCAATTAAGTTTCCTTTCTCTTAATTAGGTTAACTAGTCTCTTTACAATCTAAAAGAACCTATAGTCTAACTTCCTCCTTGTTCATTCTTTCCATCCATGTCTGGTTTGGTCTGGAAAGTAAAGCAATGTCCTTTTTCATATCTTTGTTAAGAGTATTATTATTTTACTATTGATATTATTGATGCTGTTTTACAAGAAGCAAGGTAGGAAATAATCTAAATACTGTTTGGCCCAAGGCAAATGCTAAATTCCACAGCTAAGTCAGTCTCTTTTATGTGCATTATTTATTTTCTCACATGATAATTGCCTCAGGAAGATATTTCTACTACCATTATTACATAGGGAAATAAGGTTTCAAACTCCAACATGGACTTTTGGTTTCAATACTGGTAGGATTTTAAGCTCTTGTTATGTACCACTGACTTGGAATGACTCATAGCTGACTTTCCAGTGGGTTTTCAAAGGCAATAAACTGCATAGAAATGGAAATTGCCCATCTTTCTCCCTCAGAGAAGCTGGTGGATTAAAACTGTGTATGAGGTGGATTGATTCAGTGACTGGGGTAATTGGGATGGGAGTGTCAGAGACAGTGCGATTGGCACAGGACAGAGCGGAGTTTAGGGCTGTTGAGGGCTGTTGTACATAGGGTCGCTATGAGTCGCAGGCGACTCGACGGCACATAACAACAACAACAACCTTTGAGTTAGCAGCCCAGCTCCTTAGCATTAAGCCACCCAACAAGTTTTTTGTTGTTGTTAGGTGCCAGCATGCCAACTCAGCGCCCCAATGAACAATAGACTTGAACCCTGCACTATCCTGTGTCTTCCTCATCATCTCTGACATACTTGAGCACATTGTTGCAGTCACTGTGTCACTCCATCTTGCTGAGGGTCTTCTTCTCTTTTGCTGAACCTCCACCTTTCCAAGCATGATGCACCCAGAAATTTGGCTTGTACAATACCAGCTTTCCACATGGCCCTTCCCTATATAAGGTGCAATTTCTCTACACGTACTCTTTGTTGTAACAGATATTTTTTAAATAAAGAAATAAAATAATTTTTAACCAGACAAGCAGATCAATTATAAATGTATAATAGTTTACTTATTAAAATCCCAAAACTGCAAAACTAAATATTATATTGGTTTACGTACACTCACTCATTTCCATCTAGTTGATTCCAACTTGCAGTGTCCCCATGGGGCTGAGTAGAACTTCTCCACAAGTTTTCTTTATGGTTATTATTGTGATTTTAATGAGAGTTTACAGAAAAGTTGGTTTTTAATTCATTCATTGTTGTACATTTTCCTCCTTACCCCCAGTTCCCATTTTTAGAAAAATTTCATTCATTGTTGCATAATTTCCTCCCTCTTCTCCAACCCTCCTCCAGTCCACATTGCTATGTACCTCTAATTCTGTACTGTTGTCATACAAGTAATGTCTAATCATATATTCCTTTTAAACAGTTCTTTCCTTCACCTGTGACATACTTTTTTATGTGATTTTTTACTTAACACGTTGCTGCAAATGACGGCAAAATTTGCTTCTAAGCAAGTTCGTCAGTTTAAAAGTGTGTGGCAACATATTAACTGTCATTGCTAGTTCATTTTTCACCATTTGTGAAGGAAAAGTTTTGAGACTAGGTCAGAGCAAAAGACTCAGTATCATCTATTATTTTGGATACCCATCCTTCTCAAGTAGCCTGAGATTCATAAGGATGATGATTCTGTCCTAAAATAAAGGCAGGGAGCTCCTGTGGCTTACTGGGAAAGAGTTGAATTACCAACTCCAAGGCATGCAGTTCAAATCCATCAACTACTCTGTAGGACAAAGATGGGAAATCTTCTCCTGTGAGATTTACTACTTCTGAAAACTCTGCTGGAGAGTCAGCTGAGTCAGTTCCTATTGGAAGGGATGTAACAACAATAATAAATACTTTGAGGCAAGGTTCTTAAAATCCATCCACATTTTATGAACATTAAGGGCTTATTTTACATAATCCTCACTGATTTTAGAAGATAAAGGAATGAGTCATGTTTTTTAATTTTTTAGTATAATTCAGACACCTTGTATACATATAGAACATTCAGCTTTTTAAAATATTCTATCTAAAAGAAGACAGAGTCTTTCACAGGGGAAAGATCAAGGTAGGGTTTTATGTATATATATCTACATCTATCTATGTATCTCTATCTCTATATATATCTTTTGAAGTAGTATCAAAACTGAGTTATTAAAATGCATCCACTCTAAAATTCTCAATTTCAAAGTCACTAATGTAAAATGGGCACGCATGCTCTTCTCTACAAGTTCTTTGGGTAATTTTATAGGCTATTGTGGTATATTTGTCTCATGGGAGTATCTGAAATGCAAAGCAAGCAGTACTTATTCCATCTTTCCCATTTCTCAGATCCAACATCTAGAGCTTTCCTTGACTCCTTCAGTTATAGACTATCTGTATGACTGGCAGAACACATTTCATATCCTCCCACTCTTTACTACATCAATCATCATTACCACCAGTGTCAAAGAGACATCACTTGTGATTTATACTTTTGTCATAGTCTCCTCCCTGTCTTTTGCTTTCACCCTTCATTCTTACCACAGTAGCCTAGGGAGATTTAAAAAAAAAAAGAAAGAAAGAAAGAAAGAAAACAACATAAAAAAAACCCCACCCATAAACAAGTCACATGCTTCTGCCTCTCTGTGTAACATCAGTGGATTTTCTCCTTTCTCAGAATATGGTCTATAAGACCAAACTAGATCTGTTTCCCTTGACCTCTCCAACCTCTTCACGTAATAGACTCTACCTAAAAGCTGACTCTTCTGTCACTCAGCACCAGCCACACCTGCTGCCTGGCTATTTCTGAAGCACTTCTGTCTCCACCTTCTTGTCTCTGCAA